AGATTTGAATTCAGGATTACTTTCAACGAAGTGGAGACTGTTATTAGACCAAATGGCCATTGACATACAATATAATAGCAATATTAGGCCAATATATGTACACTATAGAGGCAATATTAGAGCAATATAACCACAATACGATAGCAATAGTATTACAATTATCACCTATAAAAATATAATTATTGTCCACTTATTGCTGATTTTTCACATGTTCATAAATTTTGTTCTCTCTTAGCTCACTTAGCTCAATCTCTCTGGCACATCTCTCTCTCTTTGGTAGTCTATCGCAGCTCTCTGTCTCTCTCTCTCTCTAGTGCAACTCTCTATCTCTCACTTTGCTCTCTTTCTGTAGCACAGCTCTTTCTCTCTCTGTCTCTCTCTCTAGCTTCGTTCTGTCTCTTTATCCCCCTATTCGCTCTCTTGCTCTCTGTCTCTTTATTCATACTTCCTTTTTTTGTAAATTATTTTTTAGTTATTTTTTTTAAAAATAATTTCTCACAATGTCTTACAGTGCAATTATGATGCACATTATGGCAATATAATGGCAATACGACAGCAATAGCATCACAACATACATGCAATATGGTGGCAATATGCATACAATATGTATACAATACATAGGCAATATTAGTACAATACACAAGCAATAGGACAGCAATATTAAGTCAATCTACATACAATACACACACATCCATTACAGACTACAATTTAGACATGGAAAATAAATCGTCACCGAACCCTAACAATACTATCCTGCAAAGTAAAAATTATTTCTTTCATAAAACTTGAAAATTCAATTGTTATTACATAGTCAACCAATCTTTGCTCTATTACATACATACTTCCTACCTATAATTATAAATAATGGAGAGCTCACAAATTCTACTAATTTGATCTTAACTTCATCAATTTGTTCTTCGTTGTATGAGTTAGCTCTCCCTTCTTGCACATTTTCCAAGCTGTTCTATTCTCCTCCCGTGTAGCAATATCAGCAACAACAGGTTATCTACAGATCTGAAATCATAACTGCAGATGATTCTCAATTAACAAAGAGGAAAACCATTTTCTTTTATAACTTTGGTTTTGAAATATATAACAAAATGCAAAGACCATTGCTTCTAAAAAGGAGCAAAAGTTTGTCAACCAATTCATAATAAAAACGAAGAAACTAGTGAACCTAACCAGAGAAATGCTAACCTGCAAAACCAACTCCAATACTTTAATCACATCATTAATACTTGAGATTTTCTTCTCATGGATTATGATTAGAGGATTTTCCAATTCCTATCAGCACATACACAAGTTTGAAGATAATCAGCATCAAGCAAAAAGGGACTTGAGGTGCTACCCTCTAACAGTTTCAAGACATAGTTATCGTTGAGTCAAACTAAAACTTACACATTTCTGATTGTTCTAGTTGGTGATAAAATAAGGGGATATGTAACCCCTGTCTAGCTTCATTCCCTCAACAACCTCCAACTCATTGTCCAATGTTTCCCCATCCTGCAGAAATTAACATAGTGTGAAGCTTACATGTTTTGGGTATCATTCGGAAATAAAAAAACTAAAATAAAATTATTTGCCCTCCAATATATTTCTGTAAAAATTTCATAAGACCCATACATACCTCACTTTAAAACAACAATAAAAAGAAGTTGATATCATCTAGATTTCAGTCCTTGTAAAAATTTCATGACAAAGCTGCTGACTAGAAACAAACATAGGCAAAAATATACAATCGTTATATTCATGAAACACAAACTGATATAGAAATAATGACTAAAACAACCCATGTGCAGATGCAGAGCGCAAATGAAATTGTGATTGAAGAATTGTACAATAATTGAAAATTTCATGAAACTCAAAACTCAAATCAGAGCTATACATCAAATCAAAGATAATTAAGACTTCAGTTAAGCATAAAAATAAACTGATGAACAAAGAGCAAACAATACTTGTTCTTCCATCATGGAACCAGATATGGACCCTATTGCCCAGCATAAGGTGTTTAAGTTGTTCCAATGCTCAAGGTGTGACAAATATTATCTCCCTCATGATCTACAAGATCAAAATGACACCAATAACAAAAAATAAGTATGAAAACATTCAAGAAAGAAAATAACAAATAATCCAATACGTTTTCTACTATTAAGAAAGAAGCATATTGTAGAAACTGAGTTTCTGGTAAGATTAAATAAATTTAAAAAGCTTCGGTAGATAGTATTTTCAAAAGGCTTCTGAACTTAGGGCATGTTTACGTATCAGTAATGGGTATGGAAGGAAAGGGAATGATTTCCATTCCTGACTTCTCCTGCGTTTACTTGCAATCATGAATGAAAAAATAAGTGGGCCCTATCTCAAAATCCGTAATCACATTCCCTCAAAATTAGGAATCAGATCAACTAGGGTGGAGTAGTCGATACGATTCCCATTCCTATTTTCTCTTAATAACTTCCAAAAATACCCTTATCACTTTACCATAATTCTAAAATTAATTTGGATTCTGATTTATGCAAATTAGTAAACAATAACAATGGAAATCAATCACATTCCATTGCTAATTTTGTATGTTTAGTAAACAGCTTAATGAGAATGATTCTTCCCATACCGATTCAGTAGTTCTCCGATTCCTAAATTCTTTGATTCCTTAGTTTCTCCATTACTGATACGTAAACATGCCTTTCTAACAAGAAAGTTGCCCAATACGATATCTAAACTCATACACAGAAAATCCATTTTTAAAACAAAACTAAAGAAGCATTACATGGCTAATGTGATTGTCCACGTGAATGAGCAAGAGTGACATGGACACAATGCTTAGAAACCTACTGTCTCAAAATTTGTTGGGAAAAGATTTGAATGTTATTGATAGGAAAATGGTAAAGGTTCCAATGGTTAACTGAAAATCTCCCCAAAATTTCAAAACAAATTTAAGACACCTAACTAATTCAGACTTGTTGAGTCTCTTTCAATATGGAAGGTTTGCAAGTTCTGAGATAATAAATTGGTCTTTTCCCAGACAACCTTCTCGTTGATGGAAACTTAGAAAAGACTTACCTATCTACTACCAATTTCAAACCATACATCTTTATTCAACTACAAAGAGATTA